AATCTAGATTACCCATTTAGCACTTCTTCAACTCTCAATAAGTAACTGTCAGCCCAACAGCCTTTCCCAACCGCTCCTCCTTTGTGTCAACACTCTGGTAAGGAAGGACACCTCAGCTCCTGCAGCTATTGCTGTGGATTGTCAGCAAACTCGAAGAAGCAGAAACCGGTGAACAGCTGAGTTCATTTCCAGTCGAAAGACCTCACATCAACTGAACGTCTCAGTCCGTCTGCCCTCTCTATTCAGCTCCAGAATCCCAATTCAGACTAGCTAGTTGGACATTCTTGACACGGCTTAGCGGTGCAGTGGCACATGTTATTACATTTAGCACATCCTTTACAACACCCAGGCAGCAGCAGGGATGTTTCATCAAGAAACACATTTGAGTGCAGGAGACACAGCTGTCCTCTCATCCCATATTGAAACATTTGCATACTTTTCTCATTCAAACTTGCTCCACTCTGTTTCTGACTCGCTTCTTCCTCCAAAACTGAAGCATTTAGCTGTTTATCTCCCTCTGAATCTTTCACTCCCGCACCCCCATCATCCCTAAAACCATCATGCCTCGCTGTTAAATCTCCTGCTTCCAAAGGGTGTCAACAAATGAGGACAGTCAATCCTGCAGCGCCGAACTTCAACCATCTGGGCTGCTCTCCTTCCAGAAGCAGATTTTTTCATGTTTGCTCTTTCAGCAGAGAGAGGCCCTTACTAGAAATGTTAAAGCACAAGCAGAAATAAACCAGCAGAAGCATAAAGTTCACCCTGACTATTCAGTGACAGTAATGTAAGCATTTTCTCAACGTTTTTTCAAACTTTCAAATCTTTTTTCCTCAATTTTTCTATTTGACATTAAAATCATGGGAATAATACATTTATAAAAAGTAAATTTGATCCTGCCAAGTTTCTCTGTTCGCTGCCATTTTGTTTTGTACTTCATTATAGGCCTTTTTAGTAACAGGATACAATATAAATATAATATTTTACTGCTTCATAAATCATTAACAAGTTTTTGAACATCTTAGGTGTGTTCTTGCTGTGTCTTGTTTCTAATTTCATGCTATCGTTCGTTTTTAAAACACAGAAACGGTTTTGTTACCTGTTTTTTCGCTACGTTTCCCCTGCGGCTGCAGACTTCCTCAGGCTGACGCTGATGGTGGCGTCACTTCCTTCTCCGTTTATCTGCGAGCAGCAGAGGACGTTGTCGCTCTCTGCTGCCCGCTCTCTGCTCTCCGACGATGCAGTCCCATGCGTGGTCCAACGTGTACACTCCGTCGTCCCTGTATGAATATATGGAACGCCAAAAATACATGAACAAAACACCCCACTTAGACCAATAGTTGACAGCATAGGTACACCAACATACAACATGGCAAGAGATATCAGCAAAATCATCAGCCCGTTATTAGGTAACACAGATCAACACTGCAAAAATAGCTTAGAACTGGCAAAAGAATTAAAAAAGACTACAATAGAAGACAGCGACATACTCTTCTCACATGACGTCACATCCCTGTTCACAAAAACACCAACCCAAAAAACCATAGACACAGTAGTTAACAGAATCAGACAGGACAAGACTTTGCACAAAAGAACAAACCTCACAGCAGATGAAATAGCACAACTGATAGGACTGGTAGCTAACTCCACTTACTTCACATACTGTATGATGACACAATATAGAAACAACTGGAAGGCTTCGCCATGGGTAACCCGTTATCAGCTACCCTGTGCTAGTTTTTCATGGAAGACCTAGAAAAAAAAGCCATAGCCACTCCCCCCCAAACGGCAAAATAAAACTATGGAAACGCTACGTAGACGACATACTGGAAATCATACCCAAAGGACAAACGGAAACACTAACACAACACTTGAATAACATTGACGACACAGGCAACATAAAGTTCATATGAGTCAGAAACAGAAGGCAGTATAGCATTTATGGACATGAAAACAAGCAGGCAGACCGACGGGACCCTTAACATAAATACACATAGAAAACCAACACACACAGACCAATATCTAATATGGACATCAGAACACCCCACCATACACAAAATGTCAGTAATCAGAACATTATATCACCGAGCAAACATGGTAACAGAAGAAAGAGACCGTAAACAAGAGGACAAACACATACAACACGCTTTAAAGACCTGCGGATACCCGACATGGGCAATAAACAAAGGAAAACAACAACAGAAAGAAAAGAACCAGAAACCTAGAAAGACAAGAACCAAAACCAGTGATAACCCTACCATACATCAAAGGCATAACAGAAAGAATAAGAGCAACAATGAAAAAAACACAACATAAACACACCAACAAAGCCATACACAACAGTTAGAAACAGACTAGTACACCCAAAAGACAAGATACCAGCAGGACTTAAATGTGGAGTCATTTACGAAATCCCATGCAAACTGCAATAAAACATACATAGGAGAAACCGAACGCCAACTCAACACACGAACAATAGAACATAGAAAGGAGTGTGAGAAAGAGGCAAGTCGAAAACACACAAGAGCAGGAAAAGAAGCAGAAAGCACAATAAAGAAGTCAGCCGTAACAGATCACTGCACAAGAGAAAACCATGTAATGGACTGGGACAGCACAAGGATCATAAACACCGAACAACAGAAATACAAAAGATGGATAAAGGAAGCTATAGAGATAAGGAGACGTGGATGTGGGACCATGAACAGGGACGATGGAGTTTACACGTTGGACCGCGCATGGGACTGCATCGTCGGAGAGGGGAGAGCGGGCAGCAGAGGGCGACAACATCCTCCGCTGCCCGCGGATAAACGGAGAAGGAAGTGACGCCACCAACAGCGTCAGCCTGAGGAAGTCTGCAGCCGCAGGCGAAACGTAGCGAAAAAACAGGTAACGAAACCGTTTCTGTGTTTTTAAAAAGAACAATAGCATGAAATTAATAAGTTTTACTATGCATTAAATAAAAGCAAGAAAGAGACAAAACTCACTAGTTTCTTTCCAAATAGTGAGCCAAATCCGTTCACCTATAAAGTAAGAATGCCAGCAAGTAAGTAAAGTATAATTATACTGTATAGCACCTATCATAGAAAAATAAATATGCTCAATGGGCTTAAAGTGTAGTAAAATTGTCAGGAATGTTTTAATAGCAAATCTTGACAGATTTTATAAAAATGAATGGTTTTGGCTCACTATTTGGCAAGAAGCCAGGCATCATTTGGTTTTTTTACTGAACACAGAATAATAGAGATTTGTTATTTACGTTATTTACCTTCTTGCTGAAGTTTCGGCTACATCTGAAGCTACATCTGTTCCCCCTCGAGAAACCTCTGGACTGATGATGCTATGGTGGTGGCCGCAGTGTGATGGATGTTGAGATGGTCGGAACGGAGATGAGGACGTGGAGGAGTTGATCCGGCCCTCCAAGGATGGTGAGGAGGCATCAGTAAGGTCAGCAGGAACAGAGGTGGTAAAAAAGACAGCATGGTTAATTGAGGTGATCTTGCCGGTTAGAACTGACAGGTGAGCGGTGGGGGAACCAAAAACAAGTTTAAAAAATAAAATCCTCAAATTCCTTAGGCGACTGGGGTGAGCAGATAACAAGGAATCCACCCAATCCAGAGCTTTATCTTTAGTTTAGTGAAGGATTTGATCATAAGCAGGGAGTTGTGTGTGTTACAGGTAATGGAAGCACGATGGGGGTTGGTCACTTCTCTGGCTGTCATTAGTGTCTGCATTCGGTTCCTTCACCATGAACAGAGTACGGATGCTGTTTCTGTAAAATAGCTCACAAAAAAGTCAAAGGTGCAGTATGTAAGAATATGGTGAGAACTTTACAGTGGGAAAGTCCCAAAAGTTTCAGTCATTTTGGAAGGAAGGTTATACTGAAACACATTTCATATCCAGCTGGCTGCAGAGACTGTCAGTTTTTCTCATTTTAAAACAAAGGAAGGAGGGACGTAACTGCTGCTGACCATCAGTGAGCGTGGGGTTGCCGCATCTCCTGCCTGATACTGCAGCGCCAACCATTGTAATTTGATGACAGATGTTTAAAGTGGTTGCAGTAACCAGATTTTACCACAGGATGTTATTTTTACATCACTTCTACATAATGCACCTGTATTGACCGTCCCATAACCTCTTCATGACTCTCACCTTACAAGCACCATCCATGTGGCCTCAGCCCAAGTACTCATCACAGCATTCTCCATGGATGACAGGGCAGGCCTCTTCGTTTCTTTCTCAAGTCTTGGGTCGATGCTGCACTTCAGGATGTACGAGGAACCGCTGCTGTCTTCTCAGAACTGAATTCAAAATCTTCCTAACATTTCTTGTGCTCAGAGGACTTTCTGCATCAGAGTTGTTTCTGCACAACGTCCAATAACACAAGTACTGTTTGTTATGTTATTTGGAGATGTGTGTAATTTAGCCCTTTTGACAGTTGCAGTATGATGTTAGTGGTGTTTTTTTTTTGTTTGTTTTTTTACTGCAAGCACAAAAAATTTCCTGTTGCAGAAGCCGGTGATTTTCATAGAAGTGGAAAAGGAAATGTTTTTGCACAATTACCTTATAATGAAAAAAGTAAACAGCAAGCAATTTGCCCACTTCCGACTTTGGAACAAATTTAAGAAGATCTTCCTGAAGTTTGTTGTGTTTCTCTATTCTGTCCTTTTTCCTTTTGTGAAGTTTAATCACATGAGCTGTCATTTATCTCACACAGAACTCATGTGAAGCAAGCTCGTCTCAGGACTTGGAAAGACTTGAATTCCCTGCTGTGTAACATTTTTGACAGATTTTTATCACAGTGGAGGCAATAAAACAGCTAAAAACCTCTCACTAGCTACTCACAGCATGTGTCAGTGTCTTAAACACAGCCCTGTGGAGCAGATATCAGTCAAACGGAGTGATGTGTCACAGTTTCACAACAACAATGCTGTTTTGTTTTTTTTAAAAAGTGCTCAAAATCACTTTTCACTCTGTAAAATGTTTATTAAAAACTATTAGCAGCAATTAAATTTATCAAAGAAAAAAGACACCAAAAGTACACATTCGAGTAGTTTTAGAATAAACTTTGGTCATCCCTGAAAAGGCTGCAAGCCAAAACACAACAAGTAAGAAAGCATTGAGGGTTTCTGCAGCAGGCAGCGCTCCAGGGCTGGGATCATGAAGGGTGGGAAGAACATTCAGCATGAGCTCGCTTGTCAGGACCTTCTAAGTCGCGCAGGAGGTCTCTCCCGGGGAGGATCTGTGTTAAGATCTCCACGTCTTCGTCTGAGGTGGAGGGATGAGTGAGGATGATCCGGGGAATCTGTGAGATGATGGCACAGAGGGGTGAAATGAATGAATGAATAAATCAAAAAGGAAAGTTTGAAGCAGCTGGCGTCTACTGTCATTGTGTGTTTCACCCCTTGAAGTGAATCCTTTTTCAACACCTCTGCCTTCAGCTCTGACACAGTTCTGATCCGATTCTTCTCCAAATCAACCTGAAACACACACACACACACACACACACACACACACACACACACACACACACAGGATAACATCTAGCTTGAGGCTGATAGTAACACCCAGTCAAATTTTTAACAGTTTTTTCTGTACATTTTCGCCATTCCACCAAAACACCCACAGAGCTGTTTCCATTGCAGACAACTGTTTCCATCTCCTTGGACAAACACTCCTCTGCTTTCTCCAGCTGAGACCGTTTGCTTCTCTGGCCTTTGACATCCATCTCGCGCGGCTGTCTGCCCGGCAAGTCTGGAGGTCCCTGAGGCACGCCTGGGTCAAACGCCTCTCGGTGCACCGGTTTCTCTCTCAGCACCATCATCCTGATGCAGCTCCCAGCATTCCTTAGGGCGCTGACTGCTTCATGGTGGGTCGCCCCCTGCATGCTGAGGCCGTTGACCTGGAAGGACAGAGGTCATGTCAGAAATTTAGGGTGAAAGCAGCAACTTGTATCGCAGGAGGACACTTAGAGATGAAACATAGGTTTTGCTCTAAAAATAATAGATTATTTTTCCGTCTCAGCTTGGACTTGTCTCTGAGGGAAACAGAGTCGAGCTCTCTCTGTTAGTCATATGACACCCCCAAGTGGAGACATGAAAAACTACAAATTTTAAATCAGTTTTAATTTACACAGGATGTTTTGGAACTTGTTGGTTTTTTTCTTTATGGAAAAGATCATCCTACCTCCAACAACCTGTCTCCCACATGGAGTCCAGCCTTTTCTGAGGGTCCTCCTTTTGCTAGTCTAGAAACAAAAACACCCTGGAGGAGAAAAACATCAAACTCCATCGCCTTTAACGGTTTTCATTCAGGAAGCCAAATACTCTATACTAGTCTAGAAGCTCCTGAACTCACCTCGTCCTGGTCTTTGTAAGGCAGAGACCCTCTCCCACCAGCGATGCTGATTCCTAAACGGCCGCTCTGTCCAGACACTTTGATCTGCAGCTAAGGGTAGAATTTGTTTCTTTGTGAAAAATTATAACTTTATGTTGTTGTGAGGCCTGATAGAACCTCGTTAAGATGACCAGAGAATTAAAAGATGTTATAAACATTTGACACACATGGACACGTTTTTGTTGCTGCATAAAACAGAAAGACAGCAGAGATCATTCGAGATTTTTGTGTGATTGTGCTTACACTTAGGGGTACATGAGAGGTAATCTCAGAAGAGTCAGACCCATCTCTAAATTTCCGTTTATCTCCAAGATCTTGGAAAAGGTTGTGGCTAAACAACTGTAATGTCACAAAATTGCCTGATTTTGAGACCAACAGATCAAGATCTACAGCCAAGTCAACATAACCTGGCTACGACTCCAACCTACAATATTTTCCCTCACTGGAGACTGAAAGTCTGCACGTAGTCCCTTTAAATCAGAGCCTGCCTTCCTCACACCAGCTGGAGTCAGAGCCTGATGCACTGACAGAGATAATAAAATCATAACATTCTCTCCTACCAAGGTCCCTTTACAGAGAAACTCATTAAATAAACTCAACTCACAGACGATCAGAAGAAAAGAAGATTTCAAATTTAAAGATAATCATGAAATAAACGTTTGTTTATTGCTACATATAATAATTATAAAACAATTACCGTAAATCCTCTAATATTAGCCTGTATTTTATTAACTGCCGGGTATCATATTTTGGCCGGTGTCGGAGTCGGCGGAGGTGAATAATGGCCGGTTTTTTATTGTGGCCAGGTGGAATGTGGTAACAAGCAAGTACGGGGGGCGGTTGTGTCATCCGTCTCACTTTTGATTTGCCAGTGATAGACCGCGAGGGTAACTTTAACCGTGTGGAGACGAAGAGGAGGCGAAAATTTGATGTCAAGTTCAAAGACAACGTGCTGATTATGCTGCAGAACACTCTGGGGAGCAGTAGCCGGGGTTGTATGAACTAGTCACTAGTCGACTTCACTGCTCTATAGTGACATTTTATGCCTGTCATCGACTAGTCGCTGTCACGTGATAATGACCGGCAAGATGCAGTCCACTGAAAAGACAGCAGCATGTTGTCAGCAGGTGACAAGCTCCTGCGCTCGGGGGGGCAACGCGCTGTGCCAGAGCGTCGGTAGGTACTGACACCCGCCGTAAAACGGACATTCAACCAAATTGTGACGTTTACCCTCTTGCAATTTAACCTTCCCCTCACCCCCATCCTAACCTTAACCAGCTTGCGCATGCAAAGCTCTGATTGTTGACGCGTTCCAGAATCTGCGTCCTGAGCACGGCCACAGTAACATTATCAAATCAGGTGTCGCCACCTCAAAAACTAATTTAACATGCGATTGTTCACGTCAGCTCATTTCCTTTTATGTTTTCTGTCTTTTATTCTTTTATTTGTGCCTGATGCGTTTCGCTGCTGTGGAGCGGGGCGCATCACCTGTTCTGTCCTCAGTGACGCACCGATCACTGATGCGGCCGCCAAGCAGCGAGCACTCCACTGTTTTTGCGGTCGGTAGATCTTTTAGAACTGCAGTTCAAAGGTAACTCATCAGGTGAATATATATGAACCCAGGTAGCAGTTTCTCTTTAGGATTGAGAGGAGATGCAGGAAGATAAAAAACAGGCAGGACAGAAAAATAGTCAAATAAAAACAAGTTAGTTTTTGTACCTGGTGGTTGCAACAAACAGACACCATTGAAGGTAATCAGAAGTGAGGAACAGAAAATGAAATAATTATTTTAATGTTTAGAGCAGCAGGAACTCCGAGAGGCTGCAGGCGCATCAGTGACTTTGCGGCCGCTGCGCAGGGGGAGGGGGGAGAGGGCTGAAGCAGAAACTACCGTTGGTAAAAGAAATGTGTTTAACTTTGAAAATGTGGGCGCACTTTTAATTGTCAAAAACTCCAGTGAACCATTAGTTCATTTTGCTCAAATTGAAATAGAGGCCTGCCTCTAATTCTGGTCCTCCTTCCAATAAAGGCCTGGAGCTTGATGAGCTTGAGTCTAATACAGGCCCGGGCCTGTATTAGAGGATTTAAGGTAAATGTTTAGCATGTTTACTTGACGAGGTCATCACCATTTGCACAAAGTTAAGTTAAGTTAAACGCATGACACATGGTTAACCTTTTGCCCAGATTCAGAGCCTCCGAATCAAAGAGGGTGTGTCTCTGAGATTCTTGGTAATATCCCTCAAACTTGTCAACTTTTGGTTGGCTATTTATTCATAACATCAATGTATTAAAACTAGATTACTCTGGTTTTAAGTTTAGTTCACAACAGTTCGAGGGTTCTAGAGAAAAAGCTTCAGACCGGCCGTCTGAGCAAGACCTCTTTAGCCAGCAAAGATTTTTACGTCATCAAAACCTTTTAAAATCTTTTTCGCACCTGCAAAGCTGACAACAAGATAGTTTCCTGCAGAACAAGCTGATTTGTTCAACTCCTTCAGTTATTCTTGAGACACAAACTAGTTCCAACTGTCGTTACCTGGAAGATGACCCTGGACTGACCTGGTCGTACTAGGAGTTAGCCAACGGACTTCGGGACCAGATATGTAAATACCAGGCCACCCAGATATGTAAACAACCTACGCTACCCGGCCCGGTACAGATGGGAATGGCCCATTGGTGTGACCTTTGACCCAGCTTTCACCCTGGATTCTCATGCCAGTTCTCTTGTTCGCTCTTCCTTCTTCCATCTTAGGAACATTGCTAAGCTGAGTTCCGCTCTGAGCTTGAGACAGTTATCCACACCTTAATCTCCTCACGCTTATGGGCCATTCCCATCTGTACCGGGTCGGCCCAGGCTGGGTAGCGTAGGTTGTTTACATATCTGGGTGGCCTGGTATTTTTCCAGGCCAACCAAGGCTCATTCTCAGTCCTCTTCTCGAGGGGGTCTGCTTCAGGCCGACCAGGGCCAACACACCCACTGCTGACAGCAAATTCACACCTTCCATTAGAGCAAGCCTCTGATTGGTGGGTAGAATCAGCCCACATGGGCTTAAGACAAGGATGTGTGGAATCAACCGGGCCAGGCTGGGGCCGACTGGGGCTACCCGGCCCGGGCCGACCCGGTACAGATGGGAATGGCCCTTTGGACTACTGTAACACTCTTTTCACGTGTCTGAGCAGAACCTCCCTGAACCGTCTACAGGTGGTTCAGAATGCCTGTGCTCGGCTTCTGACCAAGTCCTCCAAATACACCCACATCACCCCGCTTCTCCTCCAGCTTCACTGGCTGCCAGTCAACTTCAGGGTTCATTTCAAGATCCTGGTTCTGGTCTATAGGGCCTTACATGGACAAGCACCATCTTACATTGGTGATCTTCTTAAGGTTGGTTTATGCTTGATGAGTCTGCGAGGTCCGCACGGCTCTGTGCGGAAAAGTTGCGTCATTTTAACAACCACGCCCCTCCACGGCCCAAACTTTCCGCACCGCGCACCTAGGAAATTTTCTAACCACGCGGACGGTCGGACACGGAAAAACATGGCGGACCGGCAAGAACTTGTATGGCAGAGGTTCGTAAACACAGACATTTGTATGATTCAGCTCTCAAAGATCACCGTGATCAACATGTTAATAATTCTTGGAGAGAAATAGCTCGCACTGTCGGAAAAGACGAGGACGCTGTTAAAAAATGCTGGAATGCCATGTTGTAAACAACAGTAATTTTTACTTCTACTACGGTTTAGTGTTGGAGGCATGCCGTAGAGCTCCATGCTGCCCCGTTCAGTTTGAGAGAATATTGGCTCACCGCAGAGACAAGCCGCATGAACCATAAACGCTGCAAGTTGTGAAGCGCATTCCATCCGCGAGCCGCATCACCAAGCGGAAAGTGAATGCGTCAAGCATAAACCAAGCTTTAGTCCCTACACCCCCAGCAGGTTCCTGAGGTCCAGTGATCAAAGCCTACTGTTTGTGCATCGCACCAGTCTTAAGGCCAACGGTGACAGATCATTTGCTGCTGTGGCCCCCAGACTCTGGAACTTTCGCCACCTGAGCCTGAAATCAGTCAGTGGACTCCTTTAAAAGGCAGCTGAAAACTCACTTGTTCAAGCTGATTTTGGTGTGACCTTCATCACCCTCTCCTTGTTCTGCTCTCCCTACCAATTCCACCTTCCTCAGGATCCACAGATTTCCCTCTTTCCTATTCCTATCCTATAAGATCACCAATGTAAGATGGTGCTTGTCCATGTAAGGCCCTATAGACCAGAACCAGGATCTTGAAATGAACCCTGAAGTTGACTGACAGCCAGTGAAGCTGGAGGAGAAGCGGGGTCATGTGGGTGTGTTTGGAGGACACTTTGCAATGGTCCTGAGATGGAAGAAGGAAGAGCGAACAAGAGAACGGACAGATCTCTGATATCCAGAAGGAACTCTTGAGTAGCTCTTTTACACATTAGGTGGTTCTAATTTCCCCATTTGTGATGTCACAAAGAGACTTTTAGTTAACGTCTTTAAGCACATAATACCTAAAACCAAACACTGACTAAATGGATGGACATGTTTTTTTCTTTTTATTGGAATGTTTATAGGCAATAGAGACCCACATGGCAGCACAAAAGGATGCAAAAGGTGAGTTTTGCATTTCACTGGTATATTATGCACAGTGGACCATTCCTGCCAATTGTTGAATCTCATCTAAAATAGGAAAATAGCCAAATGGATTTGGTGGAAACCAACAGCAGGCTGCTATCAAACATGAATGTCTAGAACAGGAACTTATGACTAGAAGTGGAAAACAGACCTCCTCAGAAGACTGAATTTTCTCTGTGCTCCTCTCTGAACCGGAACAGCGATCAGACGCTCGACTGTTGGCAGGGAGTGTCGGTGGTCTCCCATGCAGACTCTCCTTGTTTGCCAGCCAGACGAAGTACTGGTTGACCTGGGTTTGGCAACTGGTCCTGGGGGACGGGTTAGTATGATGATTTCTACAGTCCTGGAGATTGCCAGGAGACATCACCTGCTGCTGAAAATTCAATTTTGGTAAAAAAAAAATAATAATAAAATAAAAAAACAGTGACTGTAATAGATCAGTGATGACAAAGTTCATCGTGTTAAAAGATATGTGTTCAGCTGTCAAGGGTAGGTATAAAGGAGAAACAGCATGCTCCGTTATTCAGAGGGTATTCTTATTCGTACATCTGGAGGTGATTAAAACTCTACGAGGCACACAAAAACATTGTTCTCATTACTGCATGCAGAACATGCAGAGCGGACATTGTGCACTATACCAGACACAGAACAAGGAAGAAAGGGTCTGGGTTTTGTTTTAGCCTAAAGCCAAATCAGCAACATTTAAGTTTATGCAGCAATTATTCAACTACTGAGAAATAACATTAAACCCACTTTAAAAATATCAAAACAAATAACACGATGTGGTTTAGTGTTGCACTCGTTTTTATTGATCAGTGGTTAAAAAGTCCCCAAATCTCAAGGCCCAGAGCTGGTTTGAGATCAGTTTTGTGCAGTTTTATCAGAAAATAATTTTGAAAAAAAAGAAACAATATACAAACCAACTTATATGGTTCACTTTAGTCAATCAGCTCAAAATCAAAACATTACAACTCAGCGAGTACCAAATAAAAGAGTAGGATTTGGGCTTAAATCGCAGTTTTTCATCCATCCTTGTGGTACAAAGCTCAAAGTATACCTCTGCACAGTACTCTGTTAAAAAGAAGAATCCTTTAAAATACAATTAGAGCCGTTTTGGCATCTATTTGTAAAATGATAAAAAGCAGAGGAGCACATGAAAAAGAAAGGCTTCTTAGGCGGATGATTTCAGTTTGACGAGCAGGACTCGAGTCTAGATTTTAATAACGACTGAATCAAGATCCAAAATATCAGTGTTGATGTTTGACAAGTGAGCTCACTCAATACCAACAGATCAAATAAGACATTAGTGACTTTTTTTGTTTGTTACTTAGATTTAAAAGAAGAATCGTTTACCAAGGTAGAGAAAAGACGTTTAAAAATCTGCAACAGATTAAGATGAAACTTGCTATACATTTTATTTACATCCGAGCTGCCAAAAAAATATAAAAGTATCAATATTCACAAGAGATTTACAACAATCGAAAGATCAGTAGGTTCAAAAACTGGTTTTGTTTGCCCAAAATGTAAAAATTTTCACCCAGTGTTCCTTTTGTTTAAATAAAAATGACAAAAAATGATTTAGAAACAAAGTAATTTAACATTTACGATGATTTATAGTGCTGCTACCCAATGGTTGCTTTTAATAAAACTTAATATATCTTTAAAATATGTGTAAAATGAGAAATTTTGTGCAGATTATTGCTGCAGAACTAGGAAGGCACAGTGGGCCCTGGGTGTTTCCACAGGAGTGGAGGTGGAGTAAGGTCACAGGCAGTCCAAAACATAATCAGACCAAAGGGAGGTCACGCTGGGATTTATGGGTAATAAAATAAAAAACAACAGAGGGCTACAGGGTTGTGCAGGAAAATACAGCGAGACACAGTAGGCAAAAAAATTAAAATCATTTGTGAGGTAAAAGTCACACAGACGTGGTCACTGTCTCTGCAGCATTATTGACCTCGTTTTTGTTGGAGTCCAGGCCTTTGGCCGCATTCAGGTCATTGCGGAGGTTCTCTACGACTTTCTTCATGGTTTTCAGTTCGCCAGGATGAGGAGTGGCCCGCCGAAGTAGTGTTCCCTATGTAGAGGACACCAATGGGTTAGAGTGGGAACGCCTGCTTTAACAGGGAAGCTCGGGGAAGATCATCAGAAGCACAAAAACATAAGAAACACATCTCAAATCTCCAAGTAGTAACTTCAAAGGACCTTATTGTAGATCAGGATGTAGTCGTGGCCAAAAGTTTTGAGAATGACAAATATGGGAAATGGGAAAAATTGCTGCTTAAAGGGGCATTATGGAAGTTTGACAGCCAAAACATGTATAGAAATAATACATTTCTTCTTCTTACATTCTCCTGCAATGCCCTGGTCCTGTAGAATGAGCCCTGGCATTTTTACTGTGATTGCCTGTTTTTCTGTAAAATCACAGGAAAAGAGAGATGCTCGGGTCGAGCAGGCTGCTTCATGCGCGTTCATGCTCAGGCATCGCCCGTAGCATTTGCTATCCATAGCTTTAGCAGCAGAGAGAGAGGTAGTGCCAACTCAGCGACTTTGTCGCTGTTCCTAACGCCTAGTGATGAATCTAGCTACATTTCTGAGGACCCTTAGCTACTTTCTTCTAGATATTTCCTGCAAATTAGCAACAAAATAGCCATTTTCACTCCAAACCGTTCTTTGAACGTTGTTTTAGCTGTAATCAAGGATATAAATATTACAGATACCAAAGATATCATCGGTGCTTTGGCTCACCTAGTTAGACTTCGGACTCTCACCCGGGTTCGATTCTGGATGTGAACATAGTTTATTTAGAGTTTCCTTTTTACATTAATGGTATATTTTTTACAGTAAGATGCCCAAATTTGTATTTGAGACTCGCCGAACGGCATTGAATTCACAAGATAAAAAAGATGTGGGTTCAACTTTCATTTTGGAACAATTTTTCAAGCAAGGGAAGGGAATGATCTGAGCATGAGGACTGACCCATCTTAAACCTTTGTCGGCTGTGCTGAAGAGAAAGGACCAAATTATTTAATTAATTAGCTTCGTGTTCTCCTGTCCTCTGGGCCACACACACACACACACACACACGGGACTGTCTCAGCAGTTATTTTCGTTAAGGAGTGTGCACGTACAGCATGCGCGCCTCGTGCACGAGCCTACTATTTAACGTTACGCTTTTGGCCTGAGGGGGCAATCGCGAGCATAAAAATTCAAAACTCTGTAAGTCCCTTTAAGCTTTCATAATAGTAATTTGCATATACTCCAGAATGTTATGAAGAGTGATCAGATGAAATGCATAGTCCTTCTTTGTCATGGAAATTAACTTTATCCCAAAGGACCTGATGAGATCAATTCAGTAATTGTCTTGTTAACTCAGGTGAGAATGTTGATGAGCACAAGGCTGGAGATCATTATGTCAGCCTGATTGGGTTAGAATGGCAGACTTAACATGTTAAAAGGAGGGTGATGTTTGAAATCATTGCTCTTCCATTGTTAACCATGGTGACCTGCAAAGAAACGCGTGCAGCCATCATTGTGTTGCATAAAAAGGGCTTCACAGGGAAGGATATTGTGGCTACTCAGATTGCACCTAAATCAACAATTTATAGGACCATCAAAGAAAGAGGCTCAATTCTTGTTAAGAAGGCTTCAGGGCGTCCAAGAAAGTCCAGCAAGTGCCAAGATCCTCTCCTAACGAGGATTCAGCTGCGGGATCGGACTGCCACCGGTGCAGAGCTTGCTCAGGAATGGCAGCAGGCAGGTGTGAGCACATCTGCACGGACAGTGAGACGAAGACTTTTGGAAGATGGCCTGGTGTCAAGAAGGGCAGCAAAGAAGCCCCTTCTCTCCAAAAAAAACCATCAGGGACAGATTGATCTTCTGCTAAAAGTATGGCGAATGGACTGCTGGGGACTGGGGCAACGTCATATTCTCGGATGAAGCCCCGTTCTGATTGTTTGGGGCATCTGGAAAAAGGCTTTTCCGGAGAAGAAAAGGTGAGCGCTACCATCAGTCCTGTGTCATGCCAACAGTAATGCATCCTGAGACCATTCATGTGTGGGGTTGCATCTCATCCAAGGGAGTGAGTTCACTCACAATTTTGCCCCAAAACACAGCCATGAATAAGGAATGGTATCAAAACACTCTCTGACAGCAACTTCTTCCAACAATCCAACAGCAGTTACGTGAAGAACAATGCATTTTCCAGCTCGATGGAGCACCGTGCCATAAGGCAAAGGTGATAACTCAGTGGCTCGGGGGCCAAAACGTTGAAATTTTGGATCCATGGCCTGGAAACTCCCCAGATCTTAATCCCATTGAGAACTTGTGGTCAGTCCTCAAGAGGCGAGTGGACAAGCAAAACCCCAAAATTTTGACCAACTCCAAGAAGTTATTATGAAAGAATGGGCTGCTATCAGTCAGGATTTGGCCCAGAAGTTGATTGAAAGCATGCCCAGTCGAATCGCAAAGGTACTGAAAAAGAAGGTCCAACACTGCAAAAACTGACTGTTTGCATAAATGGCATGTAATTGTTGATAAAAGCCTTTTAAAACATACAAAGTACTTGTAATCATATTTCAGTACATTACAGAAACTACTGAAACAAAGATGTAAAAGCAGTTTAGCAGCAAACTTAGTGAAAACTAATATTTGTGTCAAGCTCAACACTTTTGGCCACGACTGTAGAAGTTAGTGGGAGAAATCAGGGGCAGAAAACGGCAGGATTTAGAGTTTAACTCATTAATATTCAGGATATCCGGACATCTCACCTTTGATTGGCTAAGAGCAACAGCACTCTTCCACTGCCGCCATTCACTTTGCAACATTAATATTTTATCTCTACACATAACACAAGCCTGAAGTTCTGCCATGTTGTGGAGTTGCTAATGCTAACAGTTAGCTTCCACTAGCTGAAACGTAGTCTGCCGTTTCCTGGATGCTAAACCAACAACAGCTTTCCCCGTTGCGAGTCAAGAAAGGTGAGTATATGAATGCTAATTTTCAGTGTGACAAAAATATCCGTTTTTTTTTCTGACACGAGCATTTCCCCATCCATTTCCTGTTGAGAGACCAATGAAGGAAATAAAGATGGAAACCTGTTCCCCGTTCAGCCTGCGTGTGAAATTCAGAATGACTAATCATGTTTTAAAACAAAGCGAAAACAATAAAAAGGCTTCTCTGTGAACTTACTCTTTAAATTTTGGAAAAGTTTATGTGATCCAGACAGAACAATGAAAAGCTGCAAAGTTTCAATCAGCAAGAATGAAAACCATAAGATTGTAGCAATTTTCTGTGATTGTAGCGGAATTATTGTGACTCAGATTTAAATAACGTCTGATTTAACATTAAATTGTTCTAGGAAACTTTATCTGTCAACTTGATTAATAAGCAGCTTTTATAGAAACCAGCTTCATAACTACGGTGGCATTTGATCCCTTCATTTCTCACTTCTGTACGAGTGGATCACAGCTTTTAAATTTTAAATAAATTTTACACAATAAAACACAACACTGCAGGTTGAAGCACGCGTTTCCTTTCATCACATTCATTCTACTCCACTGATCTCACCCTATCATCGTCCTCATCCTCATCTGCATCCACATGGAAGTGAATGACACTGTTTCTGTTGATGGCTTTGTCATCCCACGTGTCATCAGCCATACCATTCACCAGGCTCTCCAGGGCTCCGAAGCGGGCGAGATTGTCAGAGGCTGGAGTTTTTAAAGAGAGAAAGAAATAGAGTTTTAGTCTTAACTGAGCAGAAATTATTTAAAGATGTGTGCCAAAACCAAGAAGAAAAACCTTTCACTGGATTTAAATTAAAACAGTTTTTACAATCAGCAGTCAGAGCAGTAAAAGGAAGCTGCCGCACGCCCTGCTGCTAATAGAGACACGGAAACTGCCAGATCACAGTTTCAAATCCCAGCTTAGTCACAGGCTGAAGGCAACACAATCTCCCCTGCCCCCAACCTCACGCTGCAACACCGGTTTAATATTTGCATTTCTACAGTATGAGAGTGAGAGTGAGAGAGAGAGAGAGTGAGAGTGAGAGAGAGAGAGAGAGAGAGAGAGAGAGAGAGAGAGAGAGAGAGAGAAAATCAAACAGCTAAATATAAACATTCCGTTTATTTAGGAGGTAAAAAATATTTTAAAAGCACCAAATATAACCAGACGTGTGGCACAGGAAGAAAAAAAACGATACAAGATGGCAATAACCGAGTATCTGAAAGAAATAATGCCTGCCCTCGGTCGCATCAAGATAACCAGCGGGTGAGTTTTTAACGTCAGTTGGACAGCCGCTGTTAAGCCTCTTTAGCGCTCCAATCCACATCATTTCTGACAAACACAGCCAAGGAAGGCCTGAAGGGACGAGAGAGGGTCAGATCTATCAAAAGGCACTGAAAGCTCTTGCAGGACCTCATAATCGACAGGATCAGAGGACTCCGCCAGCAGATCGTGTGATAATGCCATCAAAGCTGTGGGGCGGTGAATACTCAGACACGATGGAGGAACTGAGCGTTACTCAAATGTCAGAAAGAGAAGGCACCGAGTCAGTAGCTCAGCCTATAGCTGACTGATGCTAATAGACACTTTAAGCTACCAGAAAAACTTATTTGATTTTTTGCTTCAGAGAATACATAATTCTTGATTATTTCTTAATCCTGCAGAACACATCACCTTTAAGGTCCAGTTCACATGGCTGCTGAGGCAGCAGAACGCAGGTGAGGACTTTCTCGCCTGATTCAGGATCCGTGTCCACCTGAAAACTGAGGAGCGGCTGAGACTGGTTTTCTGACAACCACAGGGCCTTCAGCCGCAGCGTGGTCAGTGACATCGGCAGGTAGGAGAGGCTGAACGAAATAAATCACAACAAGGGATGACTCCTGGTGCACAAACACAGGTTAAACAACACACAGTTTCCAGACTGCAGCTTTCTTTAAAGACAAAACATGCAGCAAAACAGAAAGTGTCTAAACAAATCAGAATAACATTCTCAGGTAACCGTTTAGGGACCGTGGATGTTTGGTTGTCATTCATAGGCTTGCTTTGGAGCAGCTGATCTTACCGGTTTCCAGAGACATCAAGCACGTGCAGCTCTGTGGCTTGCGACAGCTCCGGCGGGATCTTCGTCAGCAGGTTTTCTCGTACACAGAAGACATTCAGACTGCTGCAGCCGCCGATCTAGACGATGATGTGATGAGCATACATGTCATTCACAGTAAAGGAAACGCTGTCAGTTCATTATTTCAGTTAAATCTATTCAAATACATTTAGAAAACAAGGGGTGTGTGTGTGTGTGTGTGTGTGTGTGTGTGTGTGTTATGGCCTGCACGACTTTATTTTTTTTAAAGTCGACAGTCAAGTAATGAAAGTCGAGTCGACTTCGACTAGTCGTTGATGACGTCATACGCCGGAAGCGGGGGGGGGGTCCGGTCGGTAGGTTCGCTGGAGTTTTTGACAATTAAAATTGCGCCCACATTTTCTAAGTTAACACATCTCTTTTAACAACGGTAGTTTCTGCTTCCTACTTCAGCCCTCTCCCCCCTCCCCCTGCGCAGCAGCCGCAAACTCACTGATGCGCCTGCAGCCTCTCGGAGTTCCTGCTGCTCTAAACATTAAAATAATTATTTCATTTTCTGTTCCTCACTTCTGATTACCTTCAATGGTGTCTGTTTGTTGCAACCACCAGGTACAAAAACTAACTTGTTTTTATTTGACTATTTTTCTGTCCTGTCTGTTTATTATCTTCCTGCATCTCCTCTCAATCCTAAAGAGAAACTGCTACCTGGGTTCATATATATTCACCTTATGAGTTACCTTTGAACTGCAGTTCTAAAAGATCTACCGACCACAAAAACAGCGGAGTGCCGCTGCTCGCCGGCTGACTACAACGGGACCGTTTTGCTGCGGAGTTCGTGCTGGAGCGGAGCGGAGTGGAGATAGTGGAATCTTGGGTGTGCGTCACCGGAGGACAACAGCTGATGCGCCTCGCTCCGCAGCAACAAAGCGCATCAGGCTCAAATAACAGACAGAAAACATGAAAGGAAATGAGCCGACATGAACGATCGCGTGTTTAATTTGTTTTTGAGGTGGCGACACCTGATTTGGCGGTGCTCAGGACGCAATGTCTGGAGCGCACGTCAACGATCAGAGCTTTGCATGCACAAACTGGTTGAGATTAGGATGGGGGTGAGGGGAAGGTTAAATTGCAAGAGGGAAAAGGTCACAGTTTGGTTAAATGTCCGTTTTACCGCCGGTGTCAGTACCGCACAGCGCGTCGCCTCCGCCTCGATCCAGACGCGCAGGGGCTCATCACCTGCTGTCTTTTCCGAGGACTGCATCTTGTCAGTCATTATCACGTGACAGCGACTAGTTGATGACAGGCATAAAAAGTCACTACAGAGCCGTGAAGTCGACTAGTCGAGTAGTTCGTACAACCCCTAGTGTGTGTGTGTGTGTGTGTGTGTGTGTGTGTGTGTGTGTGTGTGTGTGTGTGTGTGTGGTGATTTTGTCTTAAGGAAACACAAGAAAGAATAAAAAGCAGGTCACAGAAGAAAGCATCTGTCATCGTGTGAGGGATTTGTTCAGAATTAGCGATCGTGAGGACAAACCAATTACACGTCAATGGGACACAGCAGAGGGGTTGAAAATTAGGAACAATTACACTCAGAAAAAAAAAGGCAATTTGGAAAGCCAGTTGAACTCCTGCTGCAGCCAGTAAATGTCTGTTCATCCCCGCAAACAGCCTACGTCGCATGGACGTGCAGATCACGTCTATTTTGGGTCCGGTGGTCCAGACCACGTGTGTAGGACATCCTAATTAGGTCTTTGCACAGTGGGTCATGTCTCAAAATGCATAAGAGCCTAAATTATTGCAGCTTTAAATGTAAAATCAGCAGATTCCCAGCTATAAATACATGTTATAAACAACTAACACATAATCAATGGAATCAATGATTTTTCTGACAATGATCAAGCTACTTTAGCAAAGGTCCAATCGATAATCAGGCCATTACAGCGTGATTGGTGTCCAATATCGGGTTAAAAGGGACAGAAAAGAGGCATACTGTTGCTTCGTTGTTCGGCCAAATTGTGTTGAACTATTGGTTTTCTCCGCATACTTGCACGCGTCGGTTCTTTAAGATACAGGCGCCTTTTACAATGTTTAAAGAAGCCTTTCAGTTCACAGCTTTAAGCCAAGCGTGACTTCACTTTAACAGACAAGAGGTTGAAGAAGAATGTTGCACTCTAACACAATGGAGACACTCACAGCACAGCTGAGGCTGAACAAGCAGGAGACTGAGCAGAGAGACAATACAGGACAGGATAGTGCATGGAGGAGCCAGTCATAATTACAGCAGTGAGGCAAAACGTTTGCAATATTATTATATTTTAAAGCAGGAAATTGTCTTTGTAGTCGTTTTGAATATTTCAAGCTGACTTTTAGCTGAGCTGTAGCAAAGCTGCCACTGATGTGTTGTCACAAATAGCAAAGCACTAGAAAATAAAACTTGAGACTTGTCATGCCTTATTTTCTCAAGCTATAATAGTTCTAGGGCGATACAAAATATGCTCATGAAGTTCTTTGCATAAAATCCATCTCAGATTAAGCACTTTCAACCGTTTTATTCTTGACAATTTCAGTACCTTCCAGAATGAGCCTTCTCTGGGCTCTGTTGACACCCCCCCCCCCCCCCCCCCGCCCACCCAGGCTGCTATAATCTGAGAAGCCCTGATATCCAGGAGAGGCTTGTAGTAGAACAGCTGCTCCTCCAGCAGCTCTCTTGCACCAAAGAGGTGGTTCTTCTCTAATGTTCTCATTTGTGACATCACAAATGGGAACTTTTTGAAATGGCTTGTTTTAGGCACATCAGTCCTAACAGCTGATTCACATGGACTATGGAACTGATGCAGTCCAGTTTCCATATGGCTTCTGGAAGATCTGCCATTCACACAGACTGTAGTCCGTCTCCGTAAATTTGCTCCTGGGAGAGCACCAATTCTTAGGTGTTCAAGCGAGTTCACGTAATAACTACACATATGTAGAGGAAATCTGACACAGTACATTTAGAGATATACGTGTGAAAAACTGAGAACAATAATGCATTGAAAAACTGATATCGCTGTCCTTAAAAGCACGGTCTTTGTTCTTGGAAAAAGCCGTTTACAAATACCAGAAGAGAAGCTGGAGAAAATACCACACTGTCATAAAACGGATGTTTTGTTCTCAAGTATGGATTGTTTATTTATAGAGGCTGTATGACAGCACAAAAGGATGCAAAAGGTGAGTTTAGCATAACACGACCCCTTTAAACTCCTGCTTACCTCTTTAGGTAGTGTTGTCAACCGGTTTCTGTCACAGTTTAAATTGGACAGGTGCTTCAACTTCCCAATACTTGCAGGCAAACTCTATAGGAGTAAATAAACACACAGATATTTTAATAAATACATTTATAAGCTCTTCAAACATTTTTGGGAGTTTAGATTTAATAATGAGTTTGTTTGATTGATCAGTTATTTATAAAAAGAACAACATAGTATAAAAAATCGTTCATGTTTCAGTGTGATACAATGCTCTCATGCACTGCGTTAGTCACACATCACTACACAAAACAAAAAGCCAATAAAACGGCAGCGGCGGCCATGTCTGCCTCATTTGTCTCTGTACATCCACCCGGAACGATTCCTTACTGATCATTTATTTCACATTTCTGAATTCTAAAAGGTTGTTTAACTCTAAATTTTTCAAACAAGTCATTTTCAAATTCTTATTTGGACTTTCAAACAACATTTTTACATTTTTTACATTTAGAGATGTTGTAAACTAGATTTATGTTGATAAAATGTCTAATTTTAACTTTAATTTAATTGAAACTGACTGCATTCATATAAATATTTTAAAGAAATTATTATCTTAATTTAAATGTACGTCACAAACGTGATGTTTTAATAGCTTCATGTCCTGTTACCAGTCCAGCCTCTAAAATAAGTTCACATGTAGACACTCCTACAGGATCCCGGTTACGTTTTTAAGACCAGAAACACGAGTGAGGAAAAACAAACCTGTAGCTGGTTTTCTGTGAGCACAAGTTCCGTCAGACTTTCACAGCTGCCAATGCTCTCCGGAAGAAACATGATGCTATTCTGGTCAGCCTTTAATATAGAGAGTTTACGTAGTTCTCCTGCAGAGAGAAAACATGCATGTTACATATGATAGTTACATGAAACAATTCTACTATCACAAATATCATACCAATGCTTCCTGGAAGAGACTCGATGGAGTTCTGAGACACCAGCAGGTCAGTGAGTGACACCAGGCCTCCCATCTCCTCTGGAAGACTCCCGATTTTGTTTTCAGATACATCCAGACACAACAGGGTTTTAATATCGCCGATCGCCTACAGTTCAGAGTAAAAACAGATGGTGAGAAAGCAAATTCAGCAATAATGCGTGTTTTCTGCACATTTATCATATTTGACCCTCATGAAAAGTTTATAAAAATCTCAAGTGCACACATTAGATGCTTAAATTGCTTACCAGAGGTATTTCTGTCAAGTGGTTTCCATCTAGCCACAAGTCCTTTAAGTTGATGAGACTGCCTATCGAATCGGGCTAAATAAGGTGGAAGTATAGAAATTGCATGGAGAGATGGGAAAACCGGAGAAGAAGGTATATATCAGTTTGTTGTTATTAATAATAATGATAATAATAATAGTAATAATAACAATATGCAATTCAGTTTCAGTTTTCCATTCAGTTTATTTATATAATGATAATTCACAGAAAGATTCGTCTCAAGGAACTTCAAGTAAACATTCCTATTGAGTTCAGTTTATTATAGTCTAGTCTAGTCTGGTCTGGTATGGTATAGTATGGTATAGTATGGTGTAGTATGGTATAGTATGGTATAGTATGGTATAGTATGGTGTAGTATGGTATAGTATGGTGTAGTATGGTATAGTATAGTATAGTATAGTATAGTATAGTATAGTATAGTATAGTATAGTATAGTACTGGAAACCAAAGTTTCCTTTTATTTGTTGTAAAGGAAGCAGGACGACTGATCCGTGTAAAGGAAAGAATGAATTGTATTATCGGATTTTGAGTGAAAACCTCCGTCCATCAGCAAGGGCACTAAAGATGAAGTGAGGCTGGGTCTTTCAGCACAGCAATGATCACAAACACACGAGCCATTTATACGTCACTCTACAAAACTACAAATACAAAATTAAACAAAAAGAAAAATCTAAATGTATCTTACAGCAAACATGTGTGCTGCACTTCTATATATAAAAAAATCTGTGTTTTGGGCTTCTTCTGTGTTCGCAGATCAGTCCGTGCATCGTGACGTCACATGCATGAATAAGTCACTCATCGTCTTTTTTGGGACAGACGATTGGCGGTGGGAAAAATATTCAAATCGTCCAACCCTAGAGGTTTTCTGGACTTTTTTTCTCATTTAGTCTCTCAGGGTTGAGGTATAGCTATGATGAAAATTACAGGCCAGTCTCATATTTTTAAATGGGGGAACTTGCACAACTGAAGGCTGACTAAATACTTTTTTGCCCCACCGTGTGTGTAAGAACAATATATTCAATAGTGAATACATTTTTTTTATCAATGAGCTAAATGGTTACATCAATAGAAAAAAGAAAAACAACATTCTTGGCAGCCCAATTTTCATTTAACTCTGCAAATGATTCACTGTCTATGAGTTTAAAGATTCACAATTACGACCTAAAACTAAATCTGAAACCAGGCGTTCGTCCTACTATCAGCGTGATAAGATGAGACATCTGTTCCTAAAGGATGCTTGTCTGCAAGGAATTGACAAAGACAAGGAAATGGGAAAATTCTTATTCTGAAGAACGGGAAAAAAAAGTGAAATAATAACTCACCAGACTGTATAGTTCATTATTGCCTAGGTCAAGTTCTTCAAGTCTATGAAGCTGAGATAGTGACCTGAGGTCAAATCAGAAAAGGTGGAATTTCTCAAAGTCTTTTCTAAATGTTAAAAAAAAAAAAGCATTTATGTTTACAAAACATATTTCATACTTACTCTGGTAGGAATGTCAACAAATTTTCTCTGAGTTCTAGTGACACCAAATTAGAAAGGCTGCAAAAACAAAAGAAGAAAGACAGATTAAGCAGGTTTTAAATCAAATACTTCTAAAAGACAGCTGAAAGTGGCCACATGGCCTTGCTATCAGATAACGAAGAACAGGAAGTACTTTGAAGGTGTGTCCGTCCTATCGAAGCGGCATAATTGCTGCAAAATAAACAGCGGCTGCAGACAAATGACCGGCATCACGTGAGTGGTATGGACAAAACCAAAGTACGCTTCTGCCTTTCTATGTAAAACGTTATTAAAGCAAATCATGCCATGTTGATTAGGAGCTAATATGTGACAATATTTTGGGAAAAACATCACAAGTACTAGTTAAGCTACCAACCATCTATCAAAACATCCATTCAGAGTATGAAACAAAAAAATAATGTGTTGGTTTCAATCCCATTAGTGCAGCTCTGCAGTCTTCATTCATGTCGGAAATAATGTTTCTCCACACAGAATGAGCAAAGATTAACTAAATCTATGTTCCCACTTTCTTTCAACTCTATGAAATCTCTCTTTAGCCTCAGCTGTGACTCGAATACAGCCGCTAGTTAATTTAGCTTTTTTCTGTTTATTTTTTTCACCGCGGCAGATCTCTAAGCTACCAAACACATTTCCTGTTGGAAAAACCTCCCATCGCTGGAGATAAACGACTGATGGCATTTAACCCCTCGCACATTTATCTTTCCTGCTCCTGAAAACCTGAAACCTTTCACTCCGTCTGTGTTCTGGTTTTCAATACCTCCCCCTCCCCCTGAGAGCAGGCATTCTGTCAGTGCACTCAGAAAAGAAAAACACCGGGCATGTGTGGGGAAACCGGTGGTACCAGCGCGCAAGAGAGGGATAAGAAAATTTGTTGCATTTTAAAATTCATCACCGTCAGGTAAACGTTACAATTACTTCCCTTTAAATCCTCTCCATTCCATTCCAATTTAAAGTTTATTCTTGAAATGCAAATCTTTTACACAAACATCCCCTGTGGCACCTCACAGCAAATAGTTTTGTTATGAAATCCAATTACAGCTGACCCAAACAATAAAAATCAGCTCATGGGATTCAAATGTTGGCAGACTGTCTATTTGGGTTGAATGTCATCTCACCATCTAACCTTTTATGAGCTATGATACATAAGCCTAAACGAGCACAGCAACTCTTGTTTCTGGGAGGAAACTTTTATTTTATCATTACGAATTCAGAAGAAACGGAACCACAGGGATGCTGTTTGTTGTTTTGTTTACCACCAGCTAACTTAAGTGTTTAATGCATTTTATGTTCACACCAAAGTACTAGCATATTCTATAAATCTATACTGATATAATTTCCTTTATAACATTTATTTCCACTTTCCAGAAATAATTTCTTTCTTTTTCAGTCCTTTGACTGTTCTGATTGTTTTTGTTCTGTTATCTGGCAGAATATGATCGAAGCGTCTTCTGGAGTGCATCATGAGAGAAACACTTAAAATAGGATTATTGGCCTCCAGCACGCTTAGCAATAGCTACAAATGCTTGAAAAGCAGTTATTTGTGTGGTGTAGACATTTGTTTTAATGCTATAAAATTATCTGAATTATCCACTGATCAATTTGTGGCTCAGAACGGAAAGTGTTACATTTTAATAAAGGAAAAAAACTGTTAAATAAGAACAAATAAAGGGAAAAACTAAGTGCTCCGTTTGTTGTTTATTTTGTGGGCGTTTCATCCAAAGCATCTTATAAATGAGGATGTTGTCATTTAGCCTGAACAAGCTTGTTTTGGGTCTGTTGGAGAAGACTGGATCATCTGGAGAAAACCCTCGCATGCATGACGAGAGCACGCCAACTCCAGGATGTAGCTGGGATTTGAACCTGCAGCCTACTTGCTGCAAGGCAACCGTGCAGTCATCCGACTGATCAGTCAAACAGATATTTCTAAGATGAAAAACAAGCCATAATGAAGCATCGACTTACTTTCCAATGTTTTCAGGGAGAACCTGCAAGGAAATATCGTTGATGGAAAGGCATGTAAGATTCCGTAGCTCCGGAAAGCTTTGAGGTAACCTGGAACAATCAGACAGGAGACAAACTGAAAAGATGAGGGGTCTTAGAGTGTGATTTTACCTCAACATCCAGATGATGAAAACAGCTGGCAGACAAAGGAGGCATCTCTTGTTAAGCTGAAACAGTTTCTTCTTAAAGCTCATAAATGTATATGAACATCAAAAGGTTGGGTCAAACATGCCGGCCCATCTAAACTCGTACACTTAAGATCATTAACAACAGAGCACCCCGAGCCTTTGAACTGGAACAAGACCTTTACTATCATCTAGAACAGGAGTGATGCACAAGTGGAATATTGGATCACGGCGGTGGATAAAACAGAGAAGTGTGTGTATGTGTGTGTAAACACATCGAACAGAAACTTTAACTTTGTAATACTAATCATGGCCGCCTCTCAACTCTAGTTGCTGTAAAGTCATGGGGGGATGCTCATGCTGAGGTGTAAATTAGGTTTGATCTCACCCATTAAAAAGCCAACCATGCACTACCTGCAGTGTGTTAAGATTATAAATGTTCAGAATGGCAAGTATAGCAGCGGAGAAGCAGAAAAAAAGGTGGAACACTTTGTAATTTTCATAAAATGTTCTTATATTTCTTGTACTTTTAAAAATAGTCTGCATCTGAATATGGAGAAAAGCCTCTGTAGAATAAATCTGTCCGTTTATTACCTCGTTATTGGATTTCCACTGAAATCTGCAACTTGGAGGGCTTTGCAGTACGAAATACTCTCTGGAATTTCCACAATATCTGAAACAAAGGAACAGAAAATGTTTAATACAAAAAATTAAGGCGTGCATACATGCTCGATGTTGACATAGAAATTCTAAACAAATTTTTTAATTTTCTAAATCAATATTAGTAATGATTTTTAACAGAGAATGTCAAGGGACACAAAAAGTGGAACACTAGTAGAGAAAAGCTGAACACGAACCATTTATGGGGGAGTTGTGGCAGAACGGATAGTACATCATGAACAAGAGAGCATTTTAAGCAAAACAGAAATACTTGAGTGATACCGGTGTTGTGTCAAAAAGTGTGTTCCTCCTTCATAAGAGCGCAGCCTGTGTGAGGCTCTTGTTCACTGATGCCAATTATCCTAATTGAGATAGTTGAGATTTTCCACTTGGTGTTTTATTTTTGGCAGAGTGAATACATTTTTTTGTCTTTGTAATATTTTCCAGATGAATGAGTGGTTTTGCTGACCATTACAAATGTTTCAAATTACATTTTGCATAGTAGTATGATCCTGCGTTGGACTGGCTCTGTCCAGGGTGTACCCCGCCTACTTGCCCATTGACCGCTGGAGATAGCCCCCCACCTCCCAGCCCCCACCCCGGCGACCCTGCGTGGACAAAGCGGTTTCAGAAAATGGATGGATGGATAGTAGTATGATCAATTAACATCAGATTAAGCTGCTTAAAAAAACTATTTTCCAGCCACATAGCTTAGGTCTAATGCAAGCCGTTCTTTAGTTTTATGCTTGTTTCTTGCATCAGCTCAACTAATGAGGACTGAACCTGTCACAGTGATTCATTTGCTGAAATCAGCTCTGTTGCTCAACTCTCCGTGTTCAGCCAGTTGGGAATAAAACACACAGAAACAAATTGCAACGTTTTAGCTTTTGTCTGAGTGAAACTGGCGTCTTCCTTGGGTTATTTTTTTGGGGTTTTTTTACCGTTTCGAGAGATATCCAGCTCAACCAGCTGGGCAAAGTTGGCAATTTCCGGTGGAAGTCTTTGGATCTCGTTGTCACTCAGGCCTAGTTTTCGAAGTTTCCCCAACTGGAAAAATGGCTGAAAGAAAGAAATATATATGTTTTCTGCACCTCTAAACATTAAAAGAAACAAATCCATGCAGTGTAACATGATGAAGCCTCATGCCATTTTAATTTGCCAATAGCGTTGGACATCTGTTTTTGTCCAGTTGTTCATCAAAACAAGCATTGATAGGGGTGTAACGGTTCACGAGGGAATGTTGAACCATTTTGGTTCGGTCCACTTGCGTACCGTTTCGGTTTATGTTTTCAGTTAAATAATGAATTTTTATGTGTGTGATTTAAGTACAGCGTACAAAAGTTCCTAGGCGAGTTTCCGCATGGACACTGTATTGAGTTACGCATGATGGTTGCATGTGCTTGATCTCCATTTTACAAAATGTGATCTGCTAATTCTGATCAATGCCTCTCAAAGCGGTTCACACCAGCTAGCTGTCACTGCTACTGTGGAGCCTGTAGAGACCCTGAACGGAACGTCTCCCCTCCCTCCCTTCTCTCACACTGTGCAGGCACGCAGCGGCAAAAATGTAAACAAACATGTCTGCTGAAAATTTTCCCTAGGACAATTGATGTAAAGTTTTCATCCCACAATGACAAATATGGCACGGAGGAAGCTCGTTATTTAATACGAGTTTTAAATAAGAAACTCTGGGCAGTGTGAGTTGAGTTTTTATGGCTCGCTGCAGAAATAAAAACACGGAGCATCAACAGTCAAACAACACTTGTCTGTATGAGAGCGACGCTCTTAGCTGCGCAAATAACCTGTGAAATAATTAAAGACATCACTCTAGATCAGCAGCCTGTGATGACACCTGGTTCTGCTCACTTTAGGAGCCGCTTAGATTAAATAAATAAATAAATAATAATAATATACTGAAAATGAATTGAACCGTGCCCTTCAAAACACTGAACCGAACCAAATACGATTTTAGAGTACCGGTACACCCCTAGTAATTGATGATGTGCGCATTCACTACCTCAGCGGTATCACAAAAGCAGAAAGGCTTAAAGTCCAATGCATTTTTTCACCTCTAGGCGGTGCCCTCCCATTAAACACTGGATTTCTACTTTAAAGCTGCAAAGGCAAATTTTGAAAACAAATTAGCTTAAAACATTTTTTCATGCATCTTAATAAATTTCTAACATAGCCAGTGATTCCCCTACATAGGCACAGGTGTGGCACTGCAATGAGCCTACATAGGGGAAACACTGCTACGAAACCCACCCCCCGCACGACACGCACAGAAGCAAAACGGTTCTCAGCTCAATAATGTCAGGCAAGGAGAAACACCAGGCTGCTACCACTTCAACTTCAGGACAAATTACCCAAAAAGAAAATCACAATTTGAAGTCATGGTCAACAAATGACGTTTGGACCTAAAAACAGCAGCTGGTGTTTAGCTCTATCTTGTTTCATCTGGCATTGCGGGTCCACTGTGTCTCAGGGAAGACACCCAAGGGGAGGGGTCAGTGTTCCGTGGCTGTGTTTGCGTTCAAAACATAGCTTGTTCTGTAGATTCGCTATAGCAGCTTTAATAATGAGCGCAAGTAAACACATTTAACTCCTTTAGCTAAAATGCACAGAGAATCACAGTACTGTATCCTGACGTTTATTAGTGAATGAACTTGTGATCGTAACATACACGTTTTATGCAACAGACCAATATCTGTGTTGTTTAGCCGAATGCTAATTTTTGTTAGTCTTGGAGGCAAAGGCCACGATGCTGACATTACAGATAAAAGAATAAAATTTGGTCTAAATTATATTTTTAGCATAAATAAAAAAAACGTAAATAAAATATGAAATAAATTGTCCAAAAAATGTAAAAACTAATTAAATCCTAACTAAATGGAAGACTTTTATTTATTTGATTATTTTATAATGCAGATTTATAAGTCACTTAATGTTCCATCTGTTGGTGTGAAGTAATCCAAAAAGGAAATAATGAGCCTTTTCATTGTTGGTATTTAAAAAAAATCTGATTTATTAAAGCCAAACTGCCTAATATAATCCACACTTATATCAAAATGGCTCACTATGACACGTCACCCCTTTAAAAGTTCGGCTGTATTGTTCTCACATTGGAACGGAAAGCCGAATAAGGAAAAGCGATCCAGGAGGCTGATTTCATAGGCAAAGGTAATTACAGAAAGTTGTTGTCCATGACAACAACAGGCCCGGCTTTCCTGTGTGGCTATACTGCAGGTAGCTAACTTTACTGCTTCGGGTTACAGTGTTTCCCTTACATAGGCGTGCGCCACGCCTACAAGATCTCAAGTTTTATTGATTTTTTTTTTTTGCGCCGTTTCCCGAAGAAGCAGCGGGAACTACTCTGTTGTTGCTTGTGATCACAGTCGGCAGGCAGCAAGGAGGAGGAGGCAGGGCAGGGTGGTTACAGCTAGGGATGAGCCGGATACTCATTTCAGACTAGTATGCGGTTCGGATAAAGCATTTCTGACAAATATACGAGCATGAAACGAGTAAAACTCGTAAATATTTGTAATCGTGCTGAAGGAAAATCCTCATTGGGTCACTGACTGTCTTCACGTTCTGTGATTGGCCAGTCACATAGAGCGCCCGCCCCTCCCTACAGAAAACTGCAGCCGGGAGCTCAGTCCGGTCGGCCCATCCACGCACACACACACACAGTAACGGATCTCTCTGTGCTTGCTTCACTGTTGCTCACATTTCTTCAGTACTCCCTAGGTTTACTTCAGCTCGCCTCTTTTTCGGTTTAATATTTAAAGTTACTTTTATCGTAACGTACATGGTGCATTTGACAAGACAGCTGAAAACAGCTCGTGCATGCATCGGTCACTGCCTCCGCTACGGTCGGTTTTTTTTTATTATTATTATTTTAACTCTCTCTCCCTCCCTCTCTCTCACACACACCTCAGTCAACGTTGTTTTGTTTAACTGTGTGTGGGAAAAATGCCAACAACGTTAGGAAAAAATCAGTTTAATCAAATTAAAATAAAATGGTTCTAGTATTTCATATTTATAGTTCCTACTGCATGAGTTCAGATGTATTAATTCATGCACTTAAATAATGTTCTGATTTTACTGAAAAACTTGTTCTGTAACAGTTCCTTTACTATTGTGATCAAAAATATTTAATCTCAATTCTGAGGCTGCTCTGTAAACAGTTTTCTAATAAACAAAACACATAGCAACTTCTGATCAATCCATATCAATTTCAGATTTAAAATAATGTACTGATGTAAACCACACCCACTAATTTCCAAATAAATAATAAGGTGCATTCATCTGTCTTTCTCCTTTGATCCGCATTAGTGATATTTTAAGCACCAGAACAATGAAGCAAAGAAACAGATTCCTGAGTTTGTTAGTAATTTTATTTATTAGGTGCATCTGATCTGTTCTATTTTTCTCTGAAATGAGATCAAATCAGTGCTTCTATGGGTTGTCTCCTCTCTGCAATAGAAAAATGTACTTTATTTATGTTCTTAACAATAAATTAAGTCAAAGATATTGGTCAATAATGCCAAATATGTAAATTTGTGTTTCAGTCATTTTTATACTAGCTTAAAAATACTTCATTAAGTCTACTAAGCAGGGGTGTAGAACGTGTTTAATAGGCCAGCCCAGTAATGATCTTGGGTCAAAATAAAGGGGGCAGAAGATGTTTTTCCAGACGCCAAGAGAAATTAAATGCTCCCCCCCCAGTGTGTCACTGAGAGTTTGAAACAAAAATTATTCTTGTGCAAATATTAAAATGCAGCAGTTGCTGGATTGATGCAGTTCAAAGTGGAGTGCATCAAATAAAACAATATTAACATAAAGGTGAGACGTGTCATAATCGTCATAATGCCCCCCCACCCCACCACCACCACCACCACAGCTGGAAAAATTCCTAGGGGAAACACTGGGTTACATTGATGTTTTGGGAGGAAATGAAGAAGTCATAGGTTTTCCTTCAGGGCTTTGCCTTTTCTCAGCTTTGCTGGAACGCATTCTTACAACCTGGAAAGGGTTTAACTATTAATGCACCTGCTCAACCTGCCCACTCCTTATTCACTATTAATGTTTTTTAAGTGGTTGTGATTATGAATTTCATTAAACTGCAAAAGGTTTACCCTAAGTTATAAGCTTTGCTTTATTGATGCTTTCATGACCTTCAGGAGGAAACTTCATTATTGCAATGGCGAGAACTTTTAGTCAAATTAAAAGAGTTGCACTAGACGGCTGTTCCTTTCAGTTTCCTTTGTCTGGCTGGCACAGAGACAAACCCAGCAGCTTACTACAATTTTAAATTAGACCCATGCTTTGAACACATACCGGAAAAAAATAAATAAACACAACAAAAACGATCACCTTTAAACTGAAACTGGCTTCTTTGTGCAAATAGGGATACAAGCATAAACCTCCAGAGAGCCAAAACATCAGCATATTTAATCCTATAATCATTTAGGTGTGAATCTAGTCTGTCATTATTCATGAACCGCTCTCAGATACAGATAGTGCGTTACAATAAATAAAGCCCGAGTCCAAAAGTCGAACTCCACCCTGTTGCAAAATGCATTCCATTCCAACATCTTAAGACAGTTTAAATGGCCACTAATCCTTCTTTTCATTGAGAAACAAATCTGTATGCGATGCTTGTTGGGGATTTTAAAGGCCAACCGTTTTAATTTCACTTTTCACATTTTACCGTGTGCATGCTAATCCGGCCTATCAGCCACGAGTAGCCAGAACAGAATGTGTATTCATCTGACAGATGACTGAACTTGGGTGTGGCGGATGGAATCTGATCAGCCATCAGTTCAAAGATTCAAAACATTCAGCTGAAGAAAATCCTAAGAGGAATAACGAAGGCCTTTTTGGTTTCTGCGCTCATCAGCTATTGACAGTCCTGTGAACTGACAGCAAAACCTGTTCTTCTTGTTTGTGCTGCCCACACCTCACACCACCACCAACAATTCCTCATGCAAGACAAATAAAAACCAAAGCAGGCTGCACCAAGAAGGCATCCTCCATTTTTATGTATGTTTCAAATG